AAAAGCAAAGATGTCACTTTGAGGACTAAGGTGCGCCTGACCCAAGCCATGGTGTTGTCAATTGCTTCATATGCATGTAGAGGCTGGACAATGAGTAAGGAAGACTGAAGAAGAATTGATGACTTTGAATTATGGTATTGGCAAAGAAAATTGAATATACCATGGACTGTCAAAAGAAGGAACAAATCTGTCTTGGAAGAAGTACTACCAGAATGCTCCTTAAAAGCAAGGATGGCAAGACTTTGTCTCACATACTTTGGACATGTTATCAGGAGGGACCAGTCCCTAGAGAAGGACATCTTGCTTGGTAAAGAAAAGGGTCAGCGAAGAAGAGGAAACCCCTCAACTAGATGGATTGACACAGTGGCTACAACAATGGGCTTAAGCATAACAATGATTGTGAGGATGGTGCAGGACTGGGCAGTGTTCTGTTCTGTTTTACGTAGTGTTGATATGAGTTGGAACAGACTCGACAGCACCTATCAACAAGAAAGAGAAAATGAAAATGGTAAGGAAGGTATATTTAACTCGTTTGTTGTATCAATTTTCAGTCAATTTAGGATTTTTTAGATTAGCCTGAGACTCTAAAGAGTTTGGCTATGGTACATTTGAAATATCAAAGGATGAATCAACATAAATGGATAAGACAGAATTAGAAATTACACAGGAGAAATGTAATATATTGGGAAAGAAAAAGAAGAGAGGTTGAGATGTTATTTTCATTTTGGAGCTTATGCCTTTTTGTAAAAGTACCTCTGAATCACACTTCAATAGGGATATGTTTTGATTTTTTTTAATGATTGTTTTTTAAAAAAGATTATTTTCGATCAACTCCTGGCATAAGAGCTTGAGGAGCTCTGCTGGCCTGCTCTCCAATGAAATTGGTGAAAATTATTTTAATAAGATAAAAAGTAAAGCATATAGATATGGTCCTAAGGGTAACCAGCAAATTAAGAAATATTTATTCAAGAAAATCAACAAAAAATCCATAAGTATTTGAAACAGGACCACTCCCTTCATCTTCCTTCCCATCTCAGCAAGGCAGAGATCACTCCAGATAGCTGCAGCCAAGAACACAGAGCTCCCTCTTCCCCCAGTTGTAAGGGCTTTTTTTTTTTCTTTCCCCCGGAAAAAGCAGAATTTCAGTGTTTCTTATCCTATCCCCAACTGCCTTTTTTTGAGGCTACGTCCTAGGGGAGTACAATGGAAATATGGGAGCTGTCTGTGAAATTAACCAGATGTTGGATTTAACAGAAAAGATCTCAAAGTAGCCATTATAAATACATTAACAGAACTAAAGAATACTTTACTAAAGAAGCAAAGGAAGGTGTGGTGATGATGTCTTACCAAATAGAGAATATCCATAAAGAGAAATTTTTAAAAAGAACCAAATGGACATTTGGAATTGAAACAATAAATGGATAGTAGAAAGATATGTTATATAAACAGCCATCACAGGAAAGCTAGTGTGGCTATACTACTATCAGACAAAATAGACTTTAAAACAAAACAAAAAAATGTTACTAGAGGTTAAGAAGAGTATGCTATAATTATAATGTGGTCAAACCCTCAAGCAGACATTACAATTATAAGTAAATACATATATGCACCCAACAGGAGCACAGGAAAATACGTAAAGGAAAAACTGATAGAAATAAAGGAAGAAATAGACAATTCAACAATGAGAATTGTGGATTTCAATATCTCCACTTTCAATAATGGATAAAACAAGTAAATGTCTACTTTGAGAAAGAAGAAAAATCTCTAATCAATAACTTAACCTTTCATCTTCAGATACTGGAAAAAGATGAGCAAATTAAACCTAAAGAAGGCAGAAGGAGGAAGATAATGAAGATTAGAATGGAAAATAATAAAATAGAGAATACAAAATAAAAACAATGGAGAGACACAAAAAAATAAAACTTTTTTTTAAAGATAATCGATATACATATTTTTAGCTAGTTTGACCATGAAAAAAAGAGATAAGATGCAAGTTACAGAATCAGAAATGAAAGAGGGGACATTACTACTAATGTTACACAAATTAAAAAAAGAATGATACAGAAATACAATGAACAACTATATGCCAACAAATCAGATAACTTAGATGAAATGGACAAATTCTTACAAAAAAATAATCAAACAAACAAACAAACAAAAAAAAAAAAACACTGCTGCCCTAGAATCGATTCAGACTCACAGCGACCCGATAGGATAGAGTAGAACTGCCCCATAGAGTTTCCAAAGAGGAGCTTGTGGATTTGAACTGCTGATCTTTTGATTAGCAGCCAAGCTCTTAACCGCTGTGCCACTGAAATTGATTTAACAAGAAACAGACAATCTGAATAGATCCATACCAAGTGTAGAGATTAAATAAGTAATCAAAAAGCTAGCCACAAAGAAAAAACCCATGCCCAGATGACTTCACCACTGAATTCTAACAAACATTCAAACAAGAATTAATACCAATTCTTCAGAGACTCTCCCTCCCAAAAAAACCTAACATGTTATATGAAGCTAGTATTATTTGATATTAAGACCAGGAAAAGATGATGCAAGAAAAGGAAACAGCAGACCAATATTTCTTATAAATATAGATGCAGAAATCTTCAACTACAAACTAGAAACACATTTTTAAAAAAAGTATTATATACTGTTGCCAAGTGGGATTTAACCCAAATTCCAAGGTTGGTTTAGCATTCAAAAATGAATTAATGTAATACACAATGTAAATATAAAAAAGTTAAAGAATCATCTCAATATGCCAGAAAAAGCATTTGACAAATCCAACATCCATTCATAATAAAACACACTCAGCAAACAAGGAATAGGAGGTAACTTCATCAACCTGATAAAGGGCATCTACGAAAAACACAGCTAACAACATAGTCAATGCTGAAAAACTGAAAGCTTTCCACCAAAGATGAGGAACAAGACAAGGATGTTCGCTCTCACTACTTCCACTCAACATTGCAGTGGAAGTTCTAGACAAGGAAAAAAAAAGTCATCCAGATTGAAAAAGAAGTAAAAATATCTCTACTCACAGATGATATGACCTTGTATATAGAAAATCCTAAAGAATCCATTAAAAAAAACTATCAGAACTAAAAACTGAGTTTATTAACTTTGCAGGATAGAAGATCAATATATGAAAATAAGTTGTACGATTGTATACACTTACAACGAACAATCAAAAAGTCAAACTAAGAAAACAATTCCATTCATGTAGTATCAAAAAATAAAATATATAGGAAGAAATTTTAAAAAATGAAAACATTATAATCTGAAAACTACATGACATTATAAAGAGATTAAAGAATAAATAACTGGAAAAAAATCCCATGTTCATGTATCAAAAGACTTAACATTGCTAAAATGGCAATATTCCCCAAACTGATCTACAGATTCAATTTTATCTTTTGACATTTTTCTAGCCACCGACCCACTTTCTTCCAACCTAAAACATTTTTTTTTCTTCATCTTTTTATCTACAGCATCTAGCACGGTGTTTGACAGTCAACCTTCAATTAATAAAATTAACCATGCCTATTTCCTATTATCTATGCCTAGGCCCATGCAGACTTAGCAAAGGCTTATGCTTATATTCTTACAAGTTTTCAACACTTTAGTAGTATAATCTCAGCAACTGGTTTATGATAAATGTGTATCTTTAGTGACCAAAGATCTGAAAGAGAATTACTTGAATTTTTTTTTACAGACAACTGTTTTTATACATAGGATACAGTATAATATTTTGGAATTTGCCTAATGTATGTTGATTGTTGTGTTGTAGTTACTTTTCAAGCACCCTTCAAAAGTGGCCTCTTCTTCATTAAGAAATGTATGGTCCCACTCACATACATCTGTCTCTCTGGAGGCTGGCTATAAACTATGCAAATCAGCAACATCCGTATTTTAGCAAAAGCAATTTGAGAAGAGCAATATAATCAGAGCCCCATCATTTTTTGCTTTGGGTACAATTAGCAGTATATGCACAGGGATGGATTAGGACAGCTTCTGTGGAATTCTGTAAGGAAAATTAGCCAACAATATAATGTATTATGTGTCATTGAGCTAATCATGATTCTTCTTCTTCTCCCATATGACTGCAAAATAAAAACCAAAAAACAAAACCTGTTGCTATCGAGTCGATTCTGACTCATAGAGACTATAGGGTTGCTATGAGACTGCAAAATAGCCCTTATTTAATTCAATCATATATTATCAGAATTATGTGAGAGTATCCGACCAATATAAAATACTACTAGAGCAAACATTTTAAGTTTTTTATTTGATTTTAAGATTTGCTTCTTACAGGCATTTTCATAAGGTGATATGGGGGAAACTACCAAAATGCAGATTGAACTTTTTTTTTTTAAGCTTTTGCTTCTTCCATAAAGTTTTCCCATTTGTCCTTATTACTCATTTCACTGAAACTAATTCTGAGGGGGGGAAAATCTTTAAATTAATGTTTTTAATTTATCTATAAAAGTAGCAATCAATCACATCCAAGAAGAAAATCTTTGTTATACGATGTGGTTTGTAAAATTTTTTTGAGGAATTTCTTTTTCTACATGATTCTAGAGTGATAACTGATAGATAAAAGTTAACCAATACAAACCAACAAGGATGGAATACAGGATGCCTGGCCGATCTGATGGTGGCTGGATATTCTGGTCCTGATCAATGGCTTCAATAGGTGGGGTAACAATGATGGGGTTCAGCTCTTCCTGGAAAATAATTCAGAGTTTAGTTCATCTGCATTATTAATACCCCATGGAGAATTTACACTTATGTATTACAGTTTGGACAACTAGGTAAAATTTGGGCCAGTAGTTACACTCAGGTTTGAAGATTTGTAATCTAACACCTTCAACTACTTCATGTTGAATCTGAAGAGGGAGAAAGGCGTACTCAAAGTCAAAATGAAAAAACACAGTAATTACATGGGTGAAACTTTATATCAGGAATTGCTCCTACAAGAATAGCAAAGAAGAAAGATATCAATAAATTTTGAATCTTCCCTAGGGAATTATTAAAAGATATATAAGGTATCAAATCATTCATGAAGTAGAGATTTTCTCCTTGGCTTTAGAAGATTTATAAAAATATGTATATTTGTTCCTTCCTAATCAATCTATAGTAGTCCCTGGGCGGTGTATATGGTTAAGTGCTAGACTACTAGCAGAAATGTTGATGGTTTGAACCCACCCAGAGGTGCCTCTGAAGAAAGGCCTAGTGATTTGCCGAGAAGTCACAACCTTGAAAACCCTATGGAACAGTGGTATTCTGCACATGGGGCCACCCATGAGCTGGAATCAACTTGACGACAGTTAACAACAACAATCCATTCTTTAAAAGTTTCATAAAAGTGAATTATACTAAAATAATTTTTCAAATAATGCTTTAGCTTAATAGAAACAAAAGTCACAGCCTTGCAAATCTCATATAATTAGAATCAATTATATGTTATATGCAGCTAAAACCAAAAATATCCATTCCGCCCAGTCAATCCCAACTCATAGCGACACTATAGGGCAGAATAGAACGGCCCCGTAGGGTTTCCAAGGATTTGAACCATCGACCTTTTGGTTGGCAGCTGAGCTCTTAACCACCGCACCACCAGAGCTCTTTATCAGCAAGAAGATTCTATTTAGAAATTATAATACATTTGTTGGAGTCAGTGTTTCCCAATTTAACGTGCAGTGGTATCCTCTTCTGCTACTGAGGTTAACTTTTTTTTTTTTCTGTGAAGGACCAGATAGTACTAAGGCTTTGCCAGCTATATGGTTTCAAGTTGCAGCACTCAACTGCTAAAGTTGCAGCTACTCAACTCTGCCATTACAGCACAAAAGCAGCCATAGACTATATATAAACAAGTCATCATGGCTTGTTGCAATAAAACATTAATTACAAAAACAGGTTGTGGGTGGGATTTGGCCTAAAGGTCAAGAGACTACAGATTACTGCCTCTAGTGCTAGATCTTCATAGTTATACCGGGGTGGGGTGGGGGGAACTACACAGTGATAAGTTTGGGAAACATTGTATTAAATAATGTTTCAAAAATCCAATTAGCAGTACTGCAAGTCCTGCACATGCTAATTTATCTATGGCTCTCTAAGAAGGGGGTAATATTTGCATCTTCCAGAAACACTCATTAACATTCTCTTGAACTAATACTCTTGGAACACAGTCTGAGAAACACGGCTTTAAGTATTTACAGACCTAAGCCCAAATCTGTAAGTGGTAATTCTAAAGGAAAGTAAAGTCTGGTTCAATATCTGACAACTTCATACACTAAGGAATTACTACAATGTTCTTTTATATTATTTGTATCAAATGATAGAATCTTGAAATACATCAAATACTTTTATACAAAATCAGTAGCTTCAATGCGTCAATTATCAGTAGAAATGTATAGTGATAGCACACTAAAAATACAATAAAGCAATACCATTAAACCACAATGTGCAATATCTAATTTTATATTGAAGCTGTAAAAATTAAAGATTATTAATCAATAATTTGGAGGTCACATACATGTTAGGAACTCTGTGTGTTCATTATTGCAAATAGGCTCTCAGTTGTCTAAAATGCTAGTATTATTTTCCTGAAAATAAAGAGCTATTGCTAGGAGCAACTTAACTGAGATAACATTCTAACAGTCTATTCTCTTCTATAACGTTGTTGTTAGCTCCCATCGATTTTGCCCTTAACTAATGGAGACCCAATGAACAATGTAAATAAACTCTGCCCGGTCCCACACTAGCCTCATCATTGTGATCCATAGGGTTTTCATTGGATGATTTTCGGAAGTAGATTGCCAAAGCATTCTTCCTAGTCTTCTTAGTCTGGAAGCTCCAATGAAACATATTCAACATCAGACCAACAGGAAAGCCTCCTCTGGCAGACAAGTGGTGGATGTGCATGAGTTGCATTAGCCAAGAATGGAACTGGGTCTCCCAAAGGGAAGGCAAGAATTCTAGCACTGAACCACCGCGGCCTTCTAAGTGTGGATTATGACCCATAAAAACATCAATAACAAAATTTCTCCATTAAATCCAGATCAGTATTGTACTTCTCACAGAATCCAACATACCCACCAATCCCACCTTCTCTTTCCCTCTGTTCCTCAGTCTTTCTTTCTCTCTTTCAAACACACACACACACACACACACACATACACACACACACACATACTCTCTCTCCCAACAGTCAGTTTACTTTCTATGTAATACCTGTTTTTCTCCATTAACTGGAAAAATCTGAGGCTTTTCAAAGTACATATGTTTGAATACAGGAATTAAGAGTTGACCAGCTCTTTTGAGTCTTTTCACAATGGAATCTGATTATATCAGCCAAAGTCACTTACAGTTAAGCTACTTTTGTCCCAATTCAACTTACTAAATCTCTTCTAGCTTTTCCAAAAGTGTGGCTCTACTCAAGAAACTGTGAAGTCATTTCAAATCTGAGAATTTTCTGCAGTTCCATTCTGCTTCCCAGGAGCACATACCAAGGAATCCTAAATAGTCTCCAGCTTCTTGTAATAACTGGCTTCCTTACCTAGAAGTTTGAAAAATTGATTCTGAGCTCTTCTATTAGAATACTAAATGCCAATAGACTGGGATATTTGAGGGTGTCCCTGATGATTGCCTTCACTCTGCCTATTTCTGTAGAACTGCAAACTAACACATAAGAGGTTTTAGTTGGGTAATTAGACATGTAGTTTAAAATTCTCTTTCTCTAATATCTAAAGTAGTTACAATGAGAAATGGAGTTTTATTTTATTCTTTAAAGTTTTATAAACAATAGAAGAACTAAAAATAACAAAACAAAAAAAATGAAGAGGGAGGGAAAAGTGTTAATTAATTAATTAATTCCTCATCTTTCATAGTTGGTTGTTAAAAAATATAATATAGTGAGAATTGAAGGAAGAGTGAGAAATGAGTATGTTGTTTAGAATTATATTGGTAATCATCAGAATAATTAAAATGGAAACAGAAAAATGTAAGTATTTCCAGGGAGTAAGCCTGAAAGTGAGGATAGGTGGGATGAAAGATATGTTACTTAAAGTCATTTTGTCTTGTCTGAATATGTCATTACCATAGTCTGTACTGTTTTCAATATTATAAATAAATAGATAAGTTGCACAAGTCAGAATAAAATAAATGTCTTTCAATACATTTCTAGAAAATAGGGAGAAGTAGAGTTGTCTTGGGACCCTGGTAAAGCAGTGGTTAAGAGCTTGGCCACTAACCAAAAGGTCAGCAGTTCGAATCCACCAGTCTCTCCTTGGAAACCCTATGAGGCAGTTCCACTCTTTCTGGTAAGTTTGTAATGAGTCAGAATTAACTTGACGGCAATGGGTTTGGGTTTTTTTTGGTTTAGAGTTGTCTTAAATAACTTATTAGAAAGAGGCAGAGCACTGCCCACCCTTCTTCCCTCTTTGTGGCCTCTGCTGCTTTTCTCTCTTTCCTCTTGCCTACCTGCACTGCACATCGAGTGCCATGCCAATGAGCAGCATCAGTGTGTATCCTTGTACTCCACCCCACACTGCCCCCCAGCTCCACCCCGCCAGTTCCAGTTTGTGCTGCAAATGACCCACCCCTCTCCTCCCCTCCACTGGACCTGTCCCGCTGCACCATAGCTGAGCAACCAGCCCTATCCACCTGGACAAGGTGATGAGAAGCAGCGTGCCCACAAACAAGTAATAAAACATGCCCAGCACTCCTGAACATACATAAGCAAATAAAACAAAAAACCAGGATGAAACAAATAAATCAATAATCAATAAATGAAGAAAATAATTCCTGAATGTCCCAGAGATAGGAGACAATATCAAAACATGTTTAAAGAAAAAAAAAAAGGACAGGATGGCACCAGTAAGTGACCAAGATAAAACACCAGATGACCTTCTGGTAGAAGAAAAGGCACAGGAACTACCTGATAGGGAATTCAAAACACTAATATTCAAGAGATTAGGAGAGATGAAGGAAAATAAGGAAAAAATAGGCAAAATTAGAGAAAACACAGACAAAGCAATGGAAGAACTCAGGAAAATAATACAGGAATAAAATGTCAAAATAAATAAACAGCTAGATATCATAAGAAAACAGTAATTCAAAATCTAAAAGATGAACAAGATTTTAGAAATAGACCATGCAATAGAAGACAAAACCTTGGATACCACCTTGTTTGAGGTAAAAATCAAAGAAAAGAAAAGAATGAAGAAAACCTGAGAACAAAGTGGGATAAAATCAACAGCAAAAATCTGCATGTGATCCGAGTTCCAAGACAGGGGGAGAAAATGGAAAACACAGACAAGACTGAAAAATTGCTAAGAGAAAAATTCCTTAACATCATGAAAGATGAAAAGCTGACCATCCAAGAAGCTCAACGAACCCCATATAAGACAGACCTCAAAAGAAGTTCATCAAGACATAGCATAATCACACTCAACAAAATAAAAGACAAAGAAAGAATCTGGAGAGCAGCTTGAGAAAAACAAAAAGTCATATACAAAGAGGAAGCAATAAAACCAATCTCTGATTACTCGGCAGAAACCATGCAGGCAAGAGGGTAGTAGGATGACATATATAAAACCTTGAAAGCAAAAACCTACCAACCAAGAATAACATATTCTGTAAAACTCTCACTTAAATATGATGGTGAAATTAGGACGCTTCCAGATAAACAGAAATTAAGGGAATATGTAAAAACCAAACCAAA